GTCAGAGGGACTGGCGTCACCCTGGATGAGTGAGGGATGGGAGGATGGGTGGAAAAAGGGAAAGAGGAGGAGGAGGAGGAGGGGGTGTTCCGGGCTGCGTTCAGCAACAAAAGAGCGCAGCGCCTGGACTCCTCTCGGGAGGAGGAGGACCTGCTGTTTGAATCTGATAAGGTTCTGAATCTGACGGTCAGCAGCTGTTCGGGAGGTCGGATTAAAACTTTCTGCAACAAATAAAATAAAACTTTAGATTATATAATCTCACTAATCCCTGCTGCTGAATGTTACATCCCTAAAGTTGCACGAGCTATAAATTCACGTTCTGGCTGAAACAAGCTCTAATTAGTTTAATACGGACTCGTTAAATCCTGACTAATTCAGTTGAATCGTTTTGAGCAATAAACCAAAAAATACAATTATGCAATATTTTGTTAATTTTGCTGATTTCTCTAAAGTAACTCTGATGTTTCACCTCAAGTCCTTTCCCACCTGCACAGGCGAGTCCAGCTCCTCTGAGCAGGCGGACAGTGTGCATTAATGAACACGAAAAGAGTAATAAGGTAAATTCACCTGATTACAGCCATAGGCCCATTCCTTTTAGCAGGCCCCGCCTCAGTTTTCCACCAGACGCGTTAGCGTTGCGTCACGTTGGTGGAGCGTGGAGCTAACAACCGGCCGCAGAGTGGCGCGTCTTGATTATGTCCCAGAAGCGCGGTGACACATCGTTTAGCTAAGTTTACGTTGGATCCTCTTTTACGAACCACACGCGTCAAACTCAGCAGTTCAGACGTGCAGATTGCTTTACTGGTTAAAAAAAAAGTCATTATCCGTGAAACCTCGCGAGTCTCTTCTTGCTGGTTATTGCATGAACTGGCAAAATCACGTGTGATCATACGTGACTTCGTGGGACTAGCTGCACGGAATGATTTTGCTGCCTAACTGCATCTGAAACGCTCCCAGTGGGAAGGGATGCTCACGGGGGAACGCTGCTCACACGCAGGGGGGCTGCCACAGATTCAGATTTCAGATCAGATTTATTGGCCAAGTAAAATTACTTTTACAAGGAATTTGGCTTCGGTAGATGTTCGCTCTCTAAAACATACAACAACCACAATAAATGATTTTTCACAATAACAGATTTTGGGCCCCATGAAAAAATATCAAGTTGGGCCCCCTGGGGGGCTCGTCCATAGCTGGAGCTGGGGTTCCACCCTCCCAGATTCGACGGGAGAAAAAAATATAATATATATACTTAATATTAGTGTTTCAGTTTTGCTTACTTATTTACATTTCATTTTCATCGGCTGTCTCTCATTAAACAGTGAATTTCCTTCAACAGAATTAGCAACATCACTGCTGGAAAAGGCAGGAAATGCGCATGCTTAAAGGTGTTAATCTCCTTTTCCCACCCTCCGTCTCTTGCACATCTTTAGCGGGCAGATCTGTGGCCCTTCACTCTCTATTGGACGCTCCTATAGAGAAACCTTACACAAACAAGCGTGTGTACACTGGGGATGCACCGATGGATCGGCATTTGATCCCAATCGGCTGATAGCGCCCCTATCGGTTTTGATAGGAGTTTTCAAAATAGATCAAAGCAGACCGATCAGGTAGGGTTGTCACGGTAACCGGTGTAGCGGTAAACCCCCGTAATCTGAGGAGTTCCATAAGAGAACGCAATGCCAATTGTAGTTTTCAGACGCTGCACTCTCCAGATCTGCTTGGGGGCTTGCGCCTGCCGATGACATCATCATTATACGGCAATACCGCTCGGCCAAAATATGTTGCATCTCTTTTCCAAATCTGTTCTTTTATGTATGTTTTGGAAAAAGTTGAGCAGTTTTGTTATTAAATTGGTGTTTCCGAGGGCCTAAATGTTTTTGAACAAGGTAACGTTACTTCCAAAAGTCGTACGTTCAGCCAGTGATCTGGTGTGATGGCATCGACTGGCGTAGGACCGCAAACTGGCCAGAAGGAAACATGGCATTCCCTTAAGAGGCTAGACCCGCACCTTATGTGCTTTAGACCTGATTTTTATTGTTATATGGTAAGAAGCCTTCTTCCGGCTCTTGGCGAATGCAGACGCTTTTTCCTCCTCTCCTCCATATCTTATCCTCAAGGCCTTTGTCTGTCTCTGTGTGCTGGGTGCACGGCTGCTTCTGCATTTTTTCTGGAAACTGAAATTCACTAAAATGGACCTCGTCAGTTCGTCTCTTAACGCGATTGATACAATTTTTTCAACGATGAGAACGGAAGAAGGGGCTCCCGAAAGCCCCTCCGGGACAGGCCCAGCTGGACACATCATGGACTCCTGGAAACAGTGGAACTTGATTTGTTTATCTCAGCTGTCTGTGGAGGACTCTGAAGACGTGTGGATATTCGTGGTGTTGGTGTCGGGTTTCCTGCTCATTGGCCTTGGAGGCTACCTGGCTTACCGGAAAATGAACGAGCTGTCGAGGAATACTGGCCTGCTCCCGGAGCTCAGAGATGGTTTGCACCGCACCGCGCTGTGAATTCACAGACTCACATAATTGTCGAGATGAATCGTAAGCTTGGAACTTTGGCCAAGATTCATTCATAGGCACAAAAGATGGACGCCATCAAGGAGAGATTGGACGAATCAGCACGGATTGGGATAGATTAAAGTCCATTATTGGGATTTTGAGAGGTTGAGGACCAACAAACTGTAAGACAGAGAGGAAATTATCTCTGTCTGGCCCCAAAACAATTTCTTACCTCTATTAAGGTAGCACAACTCAAGGTTGCAAATGGCCACAGTCACCAATTCTTGTCATGTGTCTTGCCCATGTTTGTCTGATCTCTGAATTGTGTGTACTGAAACTCTAATTTCCCTCTGGGATTAATAAAGTATCTTTGATTTGATATTTTTCAACAACTGGACATCATTTTAGCCATTTCAACAACGGTTTGATGGACATTTCCAGAGACTAAAGGTAAAAACTACTGATTGTCTCTTTCAAGACCAAGTTCACTCCTTTGTTTGAACACATCTGCAGTGGAAGAGCCGCTGTTCCGACTATCCGTGCTGCTCGTCTATGTGCTACTTTGGGGAAATGTGCAGACCGATTACTACACAGGCTGTTTACTCGAAGAGACGCGCTACCTCTGGAAGTTGTTATATTTCTGCAGAGGTGTGGATTCGAGTCACATGACTTGGACTCAAGTCAGACTCGAGTCATTATTTTAATGACTTCTGACTTGACTTGATGAAATCTATAAAGACTTACGACTTGACTCAGACTTGAACGCCAATGACTTGCGGCTTGAATCGACTTGCATCTGTTGACTTGATGATTGATGACTTGAGCATATTTGATATTTTAACAAAAAGTGGACAAAATCATGAATCATTCTTGGTTCTGGGTTAGATGTTGTTCTGCTAACTGCAGCAGCACTTGGTTTATCATCGGTGTCAGTTTCTGCCTGTTGAGCAAATAAACAAAGCTTTAAGAAACTTAATTTCTGAAATTCATTTATTATCTTTATTTAATTGAAGTTGGACAGATGACTTGATTATGACTTGAAAATTCAAAGTTAAGGACTTGGACTTGACTTGGACTACCACATCATTGACTTTGGACTCGACTTGGACTTGGTTGTCTTTGACTTGGACTTGACTCGAGACTTGACTGGAGAGACTTGTGACTTGCTTCTGACTTGCAAAGCAGTGACTTGGTCACACTTCTGTATTTCTGCTTGTTGCATGTTTACCTGACCGTTACCTTGCAAAATATCGTTATTATACCGTAAACAATAAATTTCTCCCATCGTTTACGTCATTCATGGAATCACGACAAACACAATCTTTTCCATAAATTAATCAATTTCCCTCTGGGATTAATAAAGTATTTTTGAATTGAATTTGAATTAAAATCACGACAAACACGTTTTTTTTTTTTGCTAATAATTACACTACAGTTCTGTATTTTTGAGTTTTATCCATCGACATTATAAGATCAATTGTGCTTAAAGAGCAAGTAACGTCTAAATTAACTTTTTTTTGCTGATGAACTGTATAAATGTGTGTCTAATAGTGTTTTAAATGTGTGTATTCATTATTTTAGCATTTTGGTGCATTTTCTTTAAAAATTAAAAATTCTGCCTAAATACCACAGTATAGCGCCACCTTCAGCTTAAAACATAGTGTTTGAGTCATTTTGAATACACTTTAGCCAATGGCTAAAGAGAAAGATACTATGTAAACCAGTAGAGTACTACGTAGCAGCTCTGTGTCAAAGTTATAAAAGCATCGAGAGTCTCGGCCACGCCTTGTGACGAGTTGGGAGTTGGATTTGCAAGCGAGTGTAGGACAGTTAGCGGTAGTTCAGCATTAGCATATAGCATTAGCATATCCTAGTCTTTAGCATAGCTTTTAGTGTTATAAATACTTATTTAGTGTTAGTTTGGCTGTTGGATATTGCTGTTTAGTTAGTGTTTGGCTGTTAGTGTAATTAGGAAAGTAGTTCGGGTTTAGTGCTCCATATCGTGTTAGTATGGTGAGAAGGTGTAGTGTAGTATGGTTGCGGTGGCTCTGTGGGGCTGCACTCTTTTCCGCTGGACTTAGAAATTAGGCGCCAGTGGTTGCGCGCAATCGGTGTCTGGAAAACAAGTAAGTAAGCGTGTTACTACACTGTAAACAAAAGCGAAACGGTCATAACACGCTGCGGTAGGAATATCCTACGAGGAGGCACGGATAGTCAGAACACCGCCCCTAGCCAAAGTGGGATTTTATTCTATCGGGGATTAGGGGCAGAAGACTACGTTAAACTTGGAGCCACTGATAATCACGTCAGACCGCTCCAGGGAGGCTGGCTACACAGTAGCTTACCATCACTGGCAGTGTGTGAATGTAAGAGTTCACGCAAGCGTTTTTGAGTGTCCCAATAAAGCGCTATACAAGTTTGATGATTATTAATAAAAATTTGCAGTCACTGAAATCTGAAAAACACAAAAATACTAAAATTCTAAAGATCCAAATCACT